CTGTCTCCTATATGTTATCTATATATAGAGATAGATAGATAATAAAACTCTTGCTGCTCACCTTTCTGCGAATTGGCTTTTGTGGCAGGCAGTTCCAATCAGCGTTATTGCAGTAACAGTATTACAATGACATGCAAAGATCTAGAGATAGAAAACCAAAAGAGAAGAACACGCTCAGCATTTCTCAAGCTGAAAAAACTGAAGAAAAAAATTCAAGCTTTGATTTGCAATATTGAAGGATTCTATAGGGAAAATATTAAATGACTCAGGAAGCATCAAAAGTAGATGGAAGGAATACACAGAATCACTATACCAAAAATAATTGGTCGACGTTCAACCATTTCAGAAGGTAAAGCATATGATCAGGAACCAGTGGTACTGAGGGAAGAAGTCTAAGCTGCACTGAAGGCATTGGTGAAAAACAAAGTTTTAGGAATTGACAGAATATCAATTGAGACGTTTCAACAAAAGGATACAGTGCTGGAAGTGCTCACTCCTCTATGCCAAGAAATTTGGAAGACAGCTACCTGGCCAATTGACTGGAAGAGATCCATATTTATGCCTATTCCCAAGAAAGGTGATCCAACCTAATGTGGAAATTATTGAACAATATCATTAATATCACACTCAAGTAAAATTTTGCTGAAGATCATTCAAAAGCTGCTGCAGCAGTACACCGAAAAGGAACTGCCAGAAATTCGGGCCGGATTCCAAAAAGGACATGGAACCAGGGAAATCACTGCTGATGTCAGATGGATCCTGGTTGAAAGCAGAGAATACCAGAAAGATGTTTACCGGTGTTTTATTGACTATGCAAAGGCATTCGACTGTGTGTATCATAACAAATTGTGGATAACATTGGGAAGAATAGGAATTCCAGATCACTTAATTGTGCTCATGAAGAACCTGTACATAGATCAAGAGGCAGTCATTCGAACAGAGCAAGGGGATACTGTGTGGTTTATAGTCAGGAAAGGTGTGTGTCAGGGTTGTATCCTTTCACCATACCTATTCAATCTGTATGCTGAGCAAATAATTCAAGAAGCTGGATTATATGAAGAAGAATGCGGCATCAGGATTGGAGGAAGACTCATTAAGAACTTATGTTATGCAGATGAGACAACCTTGCTTGCTGAAAGTGAAGAGGACTTGAAGCACTTACTGATGAAGATCAAAGACCACAGCCTTCAGTATGGATTACACCTCAACATAAAGAAAACAAAAATCCTCACAAATGGACCAATAAGCAACATCATGATAAATAGAGAAAAGATTGAAATTGTCAAGGATTTCATTTTACTCGGATCCACAATCAACATCCATGGAAGCAGCAGTCAGGAAATCAAAAGACGCATTGCAATGGGCAAAATTGCTGCAAAAGACCTCTTTAAAGTGTTGAAAAGCAAAGATGTTACCTTGAAGACTAGGGTGCGCCAAGCCATGGTGTTTTCAGTCACCTCATACGCAGTTGAGAGCTGGACAGTGAATAAGGAAGACGGAAGAAGAATTGATGCCTTTGAATTGTGGTGTTGGCAAAGAATAGTGAATATACCATGGACTGTCAAAAGAATGAACAGATCTGTCCTGGAAGAAGTACAACCAGAGTACTGCTTTGAAGCAAGAATGGTGAGACTATGTCTCACATACTTTGGACATATTATCAGGAGGGATCAATCCCTGGAGAAAGACATCATGCTTGGTAAGGTAGAGGGTCAGCGAAAAAGAGGAAGACCCTCAAGGAGATGGACTGACACAGTAGCTGCAACAATGGCCTCAAGCATAACAAGGATTGTGAGGATGGTGTAGGACCCGTCAGTGTTTCGTTCTGTTATACACGGGGTTGCTATGAGTTGGAACTGACTGGATGCTCCTAACAACAACAACATGCCTCTGCCTTAGTAGCAGGAAAAGCACTTATGAAGTCAAGTGAAGATAATCTTCTTCTGTTGACTGAAGCCTAGGTATGGCAACTTAGGCTACATGGTACAGGAGACACTGTAGACACATTTGGTGCCCCTTCCATATGCCCTCAACTAAGCCAGAGGTGGCCCGCAAAGAGATCCCACATCAGCCCAGAGCTCTGTGCCTCTCTCTGCCTGAGAACACTCTCTCTGGCTGCAGGAATTTGTTTGGAAGTGCCGGGGAGTTGACATGCCAGGAGGAAATCTCAACCAATGAGGGACAGCTGCCTCACCTGCGGTGGGACAATTCCAAGGCATATTCCACATGGTCTGTCGGTGGTCTCTGGCACAAGTGAGCCCCAGTTGCCCACAGTCGACTTCCCCACTCCCTCACATGCTTCCTGGGCTCACCTCCAACTTAACTATTTGCACCCAAACCCGGTAAGATGCAGGACCATGGTTCCAAACACCACTTGTCATACCTAGCAGCGCAGATGCGGCAGGTGCAGGGGCTGGGCAAAATTCTGTTTGGTCCCAGGATATAGCTCTGGAAGACAGTGGTCTGAGAAAAAGAATTATTGAATACGTGAATTTTTATAAAACAAATCTGTCTCCTAAAAACTTTAGGAAGCTTCAGACTCCAAACCAGAGTACTGAAAACTGGTAACCCTCAAGTAGATTCTGACTTATGGCGACCTCATGTGTGTCAGAGTAGACACACATACTCCACAGGATTTTCAGTGACTGATTTTTCCGAAGTAGATCACCAGGCCTTTCTTTCCAGTAGCCTTTAAGTGGACTGGAACACAGCCAAGTGTGTTAACCATTTGCACCACCCAGGGACTCCAGAACACTGAAAGGAGAATCTTAAAAGCAGAACAGTTTATAGACAGATCCAGAGAGAGACAAGCATCGAAAAGCAAAATCTTGGGTAACAGGCATTTCACTGAAGTTACTAAAGTAAGAATAGTACCTCTCCTGCCAGCCCATTGGCTGTCCTCCTTCATTTCACATGGGGCTGGGACCCAGCCTTCAGGGAGCTCAGAAAACCTGCTCCTGCTACCTGTAAAAATCTTTAGTATTTGACAGCAACTGGGACCAATTGGGACGGTTTCTATGCTCTGACTCATTACACAGAAGCAAGGCTACTGGAAAGAAATCTCTAAGCAAGGGAGATTAGAGGGCCTTCAAATGGTTAATACGCTCGGCTGCTAACTGAAAGGTTGGAAGTTTGAGTACACCCAGAGGCACCTCAGAAGAAGGGCCTCGTGATCTGCTTCGGAAGTATCAGCCATTGTCTTAGTCATCTAGTGCTGCCATAACAGAAATACCACAAGTGTATGGTTTTTACAAAGAGAAATTTATTTCCTCACAGTCAAAGTAGCCTAAAAGTCCATATTCAGGGTGTCAGCTCCAGGGGAAGGCTTTCTCTCTTTCGGGCTTCTCATCAGTGTTCACCCGGACTAGGAGCGTCTCTGCCCAGGGACCCCGGTCCAAAGGACGTACTCTGCTCCCGGCACTACTTTCTTGATGGTATGAGGTCCCCCTGTCTCAGTGCTCACTTCCTTCTTTTATCTCAACACATTGCCTCAGGACACAATCCAGTCTTGTAGATCAGGTCCTGCCTTACTAACACAGCTGCCAGCCATCCTCCCTCATTAACATCATAGAGGCAGGATTCACAACACAGTACCAGGAATCACGGCCCAGCCAAACTGATACACACAGTTTTGGGGAGACATAATTCAAACCATGACAGCCATTAAAAAACCTATGGGGCACAGTTCTACTCTGACACACGTAGGGTTACCATGACTCAGAATCGACTGCACAGCAACTGGTTTGCTTTTTGGTTTTCATCATTGCCTGGTTTGCATTCTGCTCATCTGGAAAAGGAAAAGCCAATCCCTGATCCCTCTCAAGGCCCCTCCAAATGCCCTGGACTTGGGGTCAAACTGGCCAGGAGCAAACCACCTCCATGGAGGAGTCACCGCCCTTAGGTAGGGAAGCTCGGCCACATGCTTGGCAGGTTCCTGGACTGTAACTATCTCTATATCTGCGGGAGGCTCCAGACTCCAAACTGGAGCACTGGAAGAGGAGAGTCCTACAAGCAGAACAGTTTATAGACAGATCAGGGAGAGAGAAAGGGAGATTCCATCTCTGGAGTTGGCTGTCTGCAAACGGGGAGTTAGACTCGCGAAGAGATTTCCAAAGAGAACTGAAGTCCGCAGATGGTAAATCTATCAACCATAGACGGAGTTGGAGAACAGCCCAATAGGTGCCCTTGTGTGCTATTTGGGGACTATTGTGTCTGTATGTTTGCAATCCCTATCCCTTTTACACCTTCAGGCTGGGGTCTGCTAAGAAAAATAACCTGGCTTGGAATGGTGTTCTTCAGCGCCACTTGAGAGTTTGAAAAACCCCTGGATAGGAAAATAATCCCAGTGAGCCAAGTCTGTCTGCACTTGGCGAGGCCCTACACCCAAAATACACAGAAGAGCACTCCGCTTTGAAAGGCCTGCAGTATTCCTATCTGAGTCATCTGAAAACAAACAAAAAGAGACCTAAACAAACAAACCTAATTGTGCACAGAAACGCAGCCAGGTTTCCAGCTTGGCTTCCTCTCTGTTTTCATTAGTCAGAAGCCAATATATGCAGCTTTCATGGCATCCAGAGCAAGCACAAATATTAAAAACAAATTGCCAAGGTTTCTCTCCCTTCCCTCCTGCCTTCATGGTGCACCGCACAAGCCAAGCTCCTGCCTTCTCTGACTTGGCTTTCAAACGCCTTTCTACCTTCAGTCTTGATGGACAGCTGCCTGATGACCAGGCTGCCCACCTGGCCGTGGATGGCTAGCCACCCTGGCCGTGACATTGATAAACATCGTGGACGGCTAGCCACCCTGTTGATGAACATCAACAACTACTGGACACTTGGAAGAAATGAAGAAAGAAATGTTTGGGATATTGGGATATTGTTGTTTTTGTCATTTGTCAATGAAACTTGTTTGAAAACCAGACCCAAGCTTTTGAGATGAGGGTGAAGTGTTTGGAGGCTTAGAAGAGTGGCAACAGTGAAAGGCCGAAGAAAAGAGAGGGGGCAGTGGTGGCTTAATGGTAGAATTCTTGCCTTCTATGCAGGAGTCTTGGGTTCGATTCCCGACCAATGCACCTGAAGGCTTGTGTGTTGCTATGATGCTGAACCTACTTCAGCAGAGCTTCCAGATTAAGACTATGAAGAAAGTCCTGACAATCTGCTTCAGAAAAATCAGCCAGTGAAAACCTTATGGAACACAATGGTCCAATCCTGTGGTGCATGGGGTCGCCATAAGTTGGAGGCCAGCTCAACAGCAGCTAACAACAACAAAGAAAAGAGAAGTGAGAACTGTCTAGGGAAATTAGAAGGCTTTCCAGGTAGTGTTGTGTTTCCAGTTAGGGTTAGAGATCATGAATGTATTGTGGCACCAATCTATATAATTTATGGATTTTCTCTAGCAAATATTTAACAACCCAGATGTTGGTACAGAGAAGGCAGACAACAGACTGGCTAGGGGCGGGCATTTTTTTTTTTTTGACAGGAGCCAGATAATAAATATTTTAGGGTTTGCAGGGCATATAGTCTCTGTCATAACTATTCAATTCTGCCTTTGTAGTGTGAAATCAGCCATAGACAGTATGTAAATGAATGAGCTCGGCTGTGTTCCAATAAAACTTTATTGATGGACTCTGAAACTTGAATTTAATACAGATTTCATGTGTTAAAAAACAAACAAAACGTGCCTGCCAGCCCAAATTCACTTAGAATCAAACTATTCATCACTCTTTGCCAGCACTCTCCCAGCTGCCTTTCTTTTTCCCTTCTTACTTAGAAGAAATACAACCAGACTGCCCCTTAGAAGTGAAGATGGCAAGACCGGCTTGCTTACTTTGGACATGTTATCAGGAAAGACCAATCACTAGAAAAAGGTATGTTTGGCAAAAACAAGGGAAACCCTCAATGAGATGAATTGACACAAGAGCCACAACAATGGACTCAGACATACCAAAGGTCATGAAGATGGTACAGGCTTAGGTAATGTTTTGTTCTGTTATACATAAGGTGGCCATGAGTCAGAGTTGATTTGATGGCAACTAACAACGATGACAACTTATTCCACTATTAGTGGGCATTCCACTATAATGGACATCTTCTACTTTTGTCCAACCATTTTCCTTTCTGATAACATCACCTAATTTCCTTTTGGAGAATCAACCCTTCCCCTAAACTTTAGTCCCTGTATTTGGTTGGAGGAAGCCCTGGAGTTGCAGTGGTTAAAGTACTTGCCTGATAATTGAAAGGTCGGTGGTTTAAACCCACCAGCCACTCTGTGGGCGAAAGATGTGGTAGTCTTCTTCTGTAAAAATTTACAGCCTTGGAGAAGGGGAGTAGGAAGCTGATGATAGGGAACACAGAATAGAGTAAGGATATTGTTGATGTGTTGTGAGATTGTTAACCATTGTCATAGGGCAACATTTGTAGTAACTGTCAAATGGGAGACTATTTTGTCCTGTA